ATTTCGTAATAAAGGGAGGGGGGTCTCATTTCGGGGGGGGGGGTCTCTTCCAGGCTATCTTGGAGGGCCTGGGGGGTCTGGGGACGATGTTTTGGAGGGTTCTCCCACGGGGGAGGTCTGAAATGGCTTGTCTTGGAGGGTCCAGACCCCCTCCCTTTCATTACGAGATCTGGAGTACCCTTCAGATGTTCTGGCGGCGGGACCCCCTGCAGCAGCAGCTCCCTGCAGGCCGCGGCGTCTCCGCGGCCCGCCGCCGCCGCGAGAGGGCCCTGCAGGTCGAGCAGCGCCGGATCGGCCAGCGCCGCCTCCCCGAAGCATGGCTGTTCACCCCTCCTGGCTGCGCGTGGACCTCCTCCTCCTCCTCCTCCTCCACCTCCTCCTCCTCGACCAGTGTGGGCAAACCGTGGAGGGGCATTGCCGCGGGCTGCAGCTGGGCCACGTACTTAGTGCAAATGTATGTGCTAGCCCTCTTGGTATATGGACACAAACCCACAATCACGTTAGGCTCGCGATGTTTATCGATGATATGCTGCTCCAGTGCCACGGCCGCAGTTTCAGCCCCATCGTCAGCAAGCTTAACATAGCCGCCAGGTCCATGGCGGACTGTATCATCCACGAGTTTAAGTGCCAGATTGCCAGCAAGAAGAATCAGGTTCTCGCGTCCCATCAAGCACTCCAGGACCAGCTCAGGACTGCCTTGGGGCCTCTGGCAGGCCCGAACAAGGACCGTTCGGGATCCAACCTTGGGGTTGAAACTGGGGCTGGACGGCCCCGAAGGAGATGGAGAAAACTTCGGAAGCTCACCGAGCGTCTGGATCAGATGCGGAGAAAAAGACTTAGTCGGGTGCGTATGTTGAAACGTGCTGGGGGTGACACCCACAAACTGTGTAAGACTGGCCTTGAAGCGGCCACCAATTTGGGAGTCGAGGTCACTGGCATCAACGGCACTCAACTCGAGTCGGCTAGGTCGCAGTTTCTTTCTGCAGCGGGTCCAGGGTGCCCGACGCGCAGCCGCAGCTTGGCGCCGGTCATCCTCAAGGACCCTCTGTGGGAAGCTGCTTCAGGCCCTGCCATTCTGTGGCACCGTCTTGTTTGGGATGCGTCCACCCGCCCTCACCTCGCCGTGGCAAGTTTCCAGCAACTGCGTTTGTGGGCGGATGCCGTCCTCCCGAGAGTTTCAAAATCTTGGGGTTCCTCTGAGGGCCCTCTTAGTGCGGCCTCGCTTTCCTTGAAACGCATCATTGGTTGGAAATTCCAAGGACCGTTCAAGACTGTGACATCCTCAGGCCTTGAGTATTCTCTTCCAAGACACTCCCCCACCTGCCTCAAGAAGCTCATGGAGCACGATTGGCACGGCCAGCTCGCCATGAAGACGGCCTTGAAACTCGGCCACCCGAACGCTCAGTTAGATGTCGCTGCTGCTCGTAGCGCGCTCGCTTCGGACCTCCTAGGCCACCAGAAGGGTACGCTCCTCGCCTTCCTCACCCAGAATATATGGACGATGGAGAGAGCCAAAGCAGCCGGATATGATGTCCCAGTTGAATGCCAGTGTGGCCATCCCTCGGACAGTCTCGGCCACAGACTCTTACACTGCCCGAAGAGGGTAACACACAGAGCCACTCACTTCTCGGATGCGGAGCTTCTGCGTTTAAGAGAGCACCCGCCCCAGGCCACGCCCCTCCAGCTTGGGTTCCAGTTGGTTCCTGAGTTCCGAAGAGAGCCTCCGCCAGGTACTGGGTTTGATTTCGGGAAGCGTTGGTGTGCTCAAACTGGTCTCACCCCTCAAGAGGCCTTCAGCGAAGGGGAAGTTCTTGTGGACGGTAGTTGTACCAACTACGGCCATTATGTGCTCAATGCCGCAAGTTTCGCCGTAGTCTGTATGCGTGACGGAAAAGTGTTTGCCCATTTCAGCGGCCGCGTTGGCCAGATGTTTTCCCAAACCTCAGGAGCCGCGTAGCATCTGGCGGCAGTCGCTGCCAGTTTGATGTCTAGGGACACTGAAGTTATGTATTATGACTACAAGGGGGCCCTGCTACTGCACCAAGGTAGCGAGCATCCCCGACGCAATCTGTGGGCTGGGTTTAAGGTCCTGGCTGGCAGGGGGCTCTTGTCTTTGGGGCAGAGGCTCCAAAAGGTGAAAGCTCACCAGGACACACAAGCCCTACCCGTAGGCAGCGAAGCCCGCCGACTGGCTCAAGGTAATGATGCAGCAGACCGTTTGGCTAAGGCTGCTGGGCACACGGGTGTTCAGCCCAGCGAAGCAGAGAGAGGCAACTTTGCAGATGATCGGACGTTTCGGATCACATACCTCAAGTATGTAGCCCAAGCTCTGGGAGAGTGGCCCGCGATCGCCCCCAGGAAATGCAAAGTTCTGGCCGCCCCAGAGAAGAGCCTGTCTCCCCCCACGGGTGCTGCCTCTGCCCTGACGTCGTGGACGCCGCCGTCGTCGGTCGTGCCTCCCCCTCCTCCTCCTTCGGAGCCCCACGAGGTTCCCAGGGAGTCACTGTAAGCAGTTGTCAGATCTTGTGCATGACAATAAAGACCATCATTTGTTTTAGTTTGAGCATCTTGAGCATCCCACGAGCATCTTGGTTTGCCATAAGTGTGGATCCTACTCGGAGGGGCTGGGTCGCGGGTTCACCGGAGTGTGCGGCACCCGAGTGAATCACCAAGGCGCGGCCACTCAACTTGCCCGCGTCCAGGACGGTCGTGCCCCGAAAGGCTCTAAGTCATCCCCGATCGTTTTTGCGACCCCAGGAATACACCTGGCCCGATTGGTTCGCGAAGAGCAAACCAAGGCTAGAGGGGAGCAGGCACCAAGTCCTACATAGTTGGCCATGCTCACGGCGGACTTCTCACTCCTCCGCTGTGTGCGTCCCTCCTCCTGGCGTCGCCTCGTGCCGTCTGTGTGTGTTGCGTGTGTGTGTGCGTGTGTGCGTGTGTGCGTGTGTGCGTGTGTTTGTGTGTGTTGTGTTGTGTTGTGTTGTGTTGTGTTGTGTTGTGTTGTGTTGTGTTGTGTTGTGTTGTGTTGTGTTGTGTTGTGTTGTGTTGTGTTGTGTTGTGCGTGCGTGCGTGCGTGCGTGCGTGCGTGCGTGCGTGCGTGCGTGCGCGTGCGTGCGTGCGTGCGTGTGTGTGTGTGTGTGTGTGTGTGTGTGTGTGTGTGTGTGCGCGAGCTTCCGCACGCGTGTCAGGCACCCCGTCTCAAGGGGTAGGCGCGCTGTAGTATGCACCCGCTGCGGCTCGGCTGCAGCTCTGAGGCATGCTTGTGTGTCCACGAGTCCAGATAGGCCCACACCAGGGACGTGGCCTGCCACCGCCCTGGCGTTATTTACACCAGGGGCGGCGGCGCCGCGTCGTCCTGGCGTCGCCTCGAGACAGCATTGCGTGTGTGCATGGTTGTGCGCGCGCGCTCTTCTGCACGCGTGTCAGGCACCCCGTCTCAGGGGGAAGGCGCGCTGGAGTACTCACCCTCTGCGGCACAGCTGCACAGAGGGCCTTCTGAGGTGTGCTGGGCACGGGGGTGAACCTGGCTCAGCCAGTCCGCCCCGACGGTCGATCGCCCACCCCCTCTTTTCCGCGGTAGCCTAAGCCCGCTGCAGGTTCGACCTGGGGTCTCTGTATGGTCCTGGCTGGCGGTGCTGGTGACGCGCTGCCAGCCCTGGAACTCGGGCCGTGGGGTTCCGTCAGCCAGGCGATGCTGGCCGTCACTTGCACTGCGGCGTGCTGCTTGGCGATTCCCTGTTGCACGACCGTGGGCGCTGGCTGGCTCCCGCACAGTAACTGTTGCACAGGGGGCCGCCCTCCGTGAGGTGCGGGCGGCGGAGGTGAGAGCCGCTGAGGCTAGGTGTGCAACCGCCACAGCTGGGCCCATCGCTCTCGTTCAGCGTCGGCAACGTCCTGTCGTCTCAGCGGCCAGATGGTTCACCCGCGGCCGTTGCGGAGAACCTAGGTGGCCCAGTGCCACGGGGTTTTGGGTTAGGGTCGGGTCGGCCAACCCTTAGCCTCCCGCATCAGCCATGTGATGGTCCACATCCTCCTCCTCCAACTCCTCCTCCCTCCCTCCCTCACTCCCTCCCTCCCTCCCTCCGTCCTTCCTTCCGTCCTTCCTTCCTTACGTCCTTCCTTCTCCTCCTCCTCCTCCTCCACCTCCTCCTCCTCCTCCCTCCCTCCCATCTTCCGTCCTTCCTTCCTTCCTTCCTCCTTCTCAATCCTCCTCCTCATTCCCTCCCTGCCTCCCTCCCTCCCTCCTTCAGTCCTTCCTTCTTTCCTCCTCATCCCCCTCCTCCCTATCCTCCTCCCTCTATCCCACCCTCTCTCCCTCCCTCCCTCGGTCCTTCCTTCCTTCCTTCATTCCTTCCTCCTCCTCCGCCTCCTCCTCCTCCTCTTCCTCCTCGTCTTCCTCCTCCTCCTCCTTATCCTCCTCCCTCCCTCACTCCCTCCGTCCATCCTGCCTTCCGTCCGTCTTTCCTCCGTGTCATCCGGCTTCCTCCTCCTCCTCCTCCTCCTCCGCCTCCGCCTCCTCATTCTCTTCATCCTCCTCCTCCTCCTCCGTCCTCCTCCTCCTCCTCCTCCTCCTCTCCTCCTCCTCCTCCTCCTCCCTCCTCCTCCTCCTCCTCCGCCTCCTTCTCCTCCTCCTCCTCCTCCCTCCTCCTCCTCCTCCTCCTCCTCCTCCTCCTCCCTCATCCTCCTCCTCCTCCTCCTCCTCCTCCTCCTCCTCCTCCTCCTCCGCCTCATCATCATCATCATCATCATCATCATCATCATCATCATCATCATCATCATCATCATCATCATCATCATCATCATCATAATCAGCATCATCAGCAGCATCATCATCATCATCATCAACAGCAGCATCATCATCATCATCATCATCATCATCATCATCATCATCATCATCAGTCTCACCATCATCATCAGCATCATCATCAGCAGCAACATCATCAGCAGCATCAGCAGCATCTGCATCAGCATCAGCAGCATCATGATCAACAGCATCATCAGCATCAGCATCATCATCAGCATCATCATCGTAATAGTATAACGTATCAGCATCAGCATCAGCAGCCGCATCATCATCTGAATCAGCATCCTAATCACCCTCTTCATCGTATAGTAAAGCATTAGTGGTAGTCGTAATCGTAGTAGTAATAGAAATAGTAGTAGTAGTAGTAGTAGCAGCAGCAGCAGCAGCAGCAGCAGCAGCAGCAGCAGCAGCAGTAGTAGTAGTAGTAGTAGTAGTAGTAGTAGCAGTAGCAGTAGTAGTAGTAGTAGTAGTAGTAGTAGTAGTAGTAGTAGTAGTAGTAGTAGTAGTGGCAGTAGTAGTAGTAGTGGTAGTAGTAGTAGTAGTAATAGTAGTAGTAGTAGTAGTAGTAGTAGTAGTAGTAGTAGCAGTAGTAAGTAGTAGTAGTAGTATAGTAGTAGTAGTAGTAGTAGTAGTAGAGTAGTAGTAGTAGTAGTAGCAGTAGTAGTAGTAGTAGTAGTAGTAGTAAGTAGTAGTAGTAGTAGTAGTAGTAGTAGTAGTAGTAGTAGTAGTAGTAGTAGTAGTAGTTAGTAGTAGTAGTAGTAGTAGTAGTAGTAGCTAGTAGCAGTAGCAGCAGTGGCAGTAGCAGTAGTAGTCGCAGTGGCAGTAGCAGTAATAGTAGCAGCAGCAGCAGCAGCAGTAGTAGTAGTAGTAGTAGTAGTAGTAGTAGTCGTCGTAGTCGTAGTAGCCGTAGTAGTCGCAGTAGTAGTAGTAGCAGCAGCAGCAGTAGTAGTAGTAGTAGCAGCAGCAGTGGTAGTAGTAGTAGTAGTAGTAGTAGTAGCAGAAGTAGTAGCAATAGTAGTAGTAGCAGCAGTGGTAGCAGTAGCAGTAGCAGTAGCAGTAGCAGTAACAGCAGCAGCAGCAGTAGCAATAGCAGTAGCAGTAGTAGTAGTAGTAGCGGTAGTAGTACTGATAGTAGTAGTAGTAGTAGTAGCAGCAGTAGTAGACGTAGTGGCAGTAGTAATAGTTGTTGTTGTAGTCGTAGTCGTAGTCGTAGTCGTAGTCGTAGTAGTAGTTGTAGTCGTAGCCGTAGTAGTAGTAGTAGTAATTGTAGTAGTAGTAGTAGTTGTTGTCGTTGTAGTAGTAGTAGTAGTAGTTGTTGTAGTAGTAGTAGTAGCAGTAGTAGTAGTAGTAGTAGTAGTAGTAGTAGTAGTAGTAGTAGTAGTAGTAGTAGTAGTAGTAACAGCTGTAGTAGTGGTAGTGGTAGTCGTAGTAGTAGTGGTAGCAGTAGTAGTAGTAATATCATCATTCGTCCTCTGCTTCTTGGTATTATTAGCATCAACAACCTCAGTATTCGCATCAGTCGTCATAGTATTCGTAGCAGTCGTCTCACAGGTAGTGTTAGAATGATTCTTAGTATTAGAATATTTTCTAGAGGTACCAGTATTGTTATTCGTGTTGGTAGTATGGCTATGCCTATAAATATCATGGCTAGCATTTGCATTACTACTATTCCTCCTCATCCTCCTCTTCTTCGTCCTCCTCCTCCACCACCTCATGGTCATCATCATCCTCATCCTTCTCCTCCTCTTCCTCCTCCTCCTCAACATCCTCCTCTTCCTCCTCCTCCACCCCCTCCCCCTCCATCCCTCCTCCTCCTCCTCCTCCTCCTCTTCCTCCTCCTCCTCCCTCTCCTCCTCCTCCTCATCCTCCCCCCTCCCTCATCCTTCCTCCTCCTCCATCTCCTCCTCCCCCTTCTCCTCCTCCTCCTCCTCCTGCTCCTCCTCGTCTTCCTCCTCCTCCTCCTCCTCCTCCTCGCCCTCCTCCTCCTCCCCCTCCTCCTCCTCGTCCTCCTCCTCCTCCTCCTCCTCCTCCCCCTCCTCCTCCTCCTCCTCCTCCTCCTCCTCCTCCTCCTCCTCCTCCTCCTCCTCCTCCCCCTCCTCCTCCTCCTCCTCCTCCTCCTCCTCCTCCTCCTCCTCCTCCTCCTCCTCCTCCTCCCGAGCCTATGTTGGACACAGGTTGACAACTCTCTGTCGCCATGTTGACAAGTGTACGCCCCGTCGACATTGCAGAGCGGAACAGGAGGGGGGGCTGGGAAGGGGCATGCCGCTCCTTGGCAAAAGCCCTGCCCCGAGCCATGGCCGCCGCGGTCGCCGCGGCGACCTCCAAAACCGACCCAGAGGCTCGGTTCGGGGTCGAGTATCACGCCACGAGATCGGTATCCCCGCTGGCGTGGCCCTGGCCCCACTGGCCCTTGGATCGGCGCGGGGGGTGCTCAGGTGATAGGAGGTAATCACTGGATGCCGACATGTGCCCCTTCCATTCCCTCAGCGACCCCACGCGCTGACCCAGGCTGATGTACACACCCAGGTGGGGATGCACGTCTGCTCCCTCGGCCTTCGCGGGGACTGCCCGCACCTAGAGGGGGGGAAGGTGGCTGGAAGGGCCGAGATGCCACGGCCCAGAGATGGGTTGGACGATGCTGGAAAACGAATCAAACGGGGACCACGACCAAGACAGAGCGCAGAAACATCGTACCGATCCAAGACACCGTTCATCTCGGTCAGCGCCAACTCGTGGATCGTCCTCGCGAATCGGCGACGGCGGGCATGGACCATAACGACACATTGACCGGCGCCGACCAAATCCCACGACCTCTTGGCCGTGGTCGGTGTGTGCTTCTTCCCTCGATAAGGCTGCGCCTCCGGGGCCGCGGCCGCCCAGTCCAGGAAGGCCGCGTAGCCGCGCAGGCCAGGGTGCCGGTGCAGCCCGCACCAGGCCACCTTCCGGCTGCACGCTAGAGCGGCCCTGGGCCAGCGTGGCCTGTGGTGCACGGCTCGCTGGGGGCCACGGGGGGGCCAAGCACGAGCGCGCAAGACGCTGCCATCGCATCGCGTGCGGCGATCAGGGCACCCCCAGGGGCCCGCACCAGAGGTCACTCCGGCAGAGGGCCACTCCTACGTGCGGGCTGCTTCTTAGGAGGGAGCTACTTCTCAGAAGACGCCGGCCTTGCGTCTACACACAAGGCCCGCGTCTTCTAAGAAGCCCCCCCTTCTCCCACACACCCCTCTGCGCGTGGCCGCCCGCCCCACCCACCTGCCCCTCTCGCCCCCTGTCGGGCACTGGCGGGACTGGGCAGCGCGGGGCTGGGCAGCACGAACTGAGCAGGGACCGACCGCCCCAGCATCCCTGTGGGCCTCCCACGAAATCATCTTAGAACCCAGAAATGTCCGAATCAGAAAAAACTTGTTCTCAGAGAATGGCTAATTAAACCGATGTGTTCGAAGGAGACGGCCTCGGCCATATGTGCCCCGAGAACATCTCACTCCGTGCACGCCACAGAAGGTTATCAGGACATTCTTTGGCGAGCCTACAGGCAAGCCGGGACGCTTCACCACTGCTTGACCTACCCCCCTCTGCGCGTGGCCGGCCACCTTTCGGGTCGGGCGAAAGGGGGGGATAGCAAAGGGGGGGTTTGAGAATCAGCTCACGTAGCTGATTTTTCCAGCGCCTCCCGGCGCCGAAGGCGGCCATGTATCGAGGAATGGGCCCCTCGGTGAGGCCGAAACCAGCTGCATGCAGCAAATTCCGTAACCCCCCCTTTCCCAATCCCCCCCTTTCGCCCGACCCGAGCTTCACCACTGCTTGACCTACCCCCCTCTGCGCGTGGCCGGCCACCTTGCGGTCCACCCGCCGCCCGGCCGCCGCCAGCGCGCCCGGCAGCTGGCGCAGCAGGCGCACGGCCCCCAGGGAGGTGCCGCCCAGGGCGAACCTCGGGAGGGAGAGCCCCCAAAAACGAAGGGGCGGCGAGCCCACGGGGGAGAAGCGAGGAGGGGGACCAGAATGGGACGCGGGGCTTCTCGGGAGGGGGAGGAGCAGGGGGAGGAGGAGGAGGAGGAGGAGGAGGAGGAGGGGGAGGAGGAGGAGGGAAGAGAGGAGGAGGAGAGAAGAGAGATGAGGAGGAGAGAGAGGAGGGGGGAGGAGGAGAAGGCGGTGGACAAACATTGGCGGCGAGCTCAGGGGAGAAATCAGATGGGACGCACGAAGAAATATCAGTACTATGTGTCCTCTTTGGAAGCGCGCGCCCGACCCGCAAATAGTATAACCATCTTGTCGTATATCGCTTCCCGATCGGTACGGCCAGCAAGCGCCCGCCACGGAGCGTATACTACAAGATGTCTCGGCGCGCGCGTCGCCTCTAGGGGGGGGGGGGGGGGGGGGCGACGCACACGTAGTGCTAGTACGTTGGGGCGACGCCAGTAAGAAGGGGACTACAATTGGCGGCGGGTCTTGTCAGAAGCCCTCTCGCCTTTTGCGACATGCTCTGAGACCTCCCCGAAAACACTGAACCTCTTGTCACAAGAGGGGGGGCTGCTGAGAAGCCCCGCCGCCTTCTGAGAGAGCCTGCTCCCTCTCGCTTCCCCCTGGGGTCGACGCCGAAAGATGGCACCGATACCGCTACCGCCCCCGGACATCTCCGAAGGGCGAAGGTGAGAAGGAGAAGGCCTTCTCAGAAGGCGGCGGGACTTTTCAGAAGCTCTCTGGCCTTCTGCGATGTGTTTCTGTCTTCGGGGGAAGTTTAAACAAATCCTCAGAAGGCCAGGGGATTTCCAAGCCTTCTGAGACGTTCTTTTCCTTCTCACCTCCCCCGCGGGCTCGCTGCCGAACCTTCTCTGCATCGATCAAGATCTTGCTATGCCTATGGGATTATAGACGTTTAGATCTTTCTGGCGGGCCGAAGTAACACGAGGAGTACATTCAGACTTGAGGTGGCAGGTCAACTGCTCTGGCAAAAGAATCCACAAGACACACAGAGACAGATAGTAAGTGAAGCGTGGTATTGTCTAAAATGACTGGTACGTAACAACCCCCCAGCTACATGAAGACGAGCCGACCCCCTGCAGACTGCGCATCCTCGGCCACTTTCAGTGAGGCCCTGAGCAGCAGCACTGTTGGGGGCCAGGAGATCTAGGTGCAGCGGTTTCAGACTTGTGGCCCAAGAGGCCCAACTCACGTCCTTTCTCAATGGCATCGAGGTTGGCTATGAGATGTCATGCCTAGGGAGTGAGACTCGACATTCGCGCCTGGGTAATACAAAACGCATCTGCGCATTCACTCGGGCTCGGTCGGCGGCAATTTCGGCAACTGCGTCAGCAGCATGACTACAAAAGAGAAACCACTCTTGACATCTCTGTGCATGCACCGCCACCCCGTCCACATGAGAGCTTACAAGCAGAACCTCATCGCCAAGATTGGCCCAAATGAGTGCATCTGGTCCACTGGGGTGTAAGCAGTTGTCCTGATACCAGCCATCATCAACTCCGAGATTGCCCGACACGAACACGATGCACTCTGTGCTGACGTGGAAGGAAAGCCAAAACGCAGTGAGTTCGCCCCTGCCCACCATTTGGCGGCGTCCTGGCAAAGGTCCTCCGATGCTCGTCCGAACTTGGAGAGCAGGCGTGTGTGATTCGGGACCTGGAGGCTCAGATAACACGATGCCGACTCTTCTCACACGTTGGTGAGCAGACTCCTTCCAGGAACGCAGTGGATGCTCACGCGTGCCAGTGCCAGCAACGCCAGCAACACATTCATGAATTTCACCTCCGCAACTCCAGGCAGCCTCAAGGATCGGCGGCGGGACCTCTACCCACGCCTTCGGCAGAAGAAGCCCTCGGAGCCAGAAGCACTCGGCTGCCTCCCACTGTGCGTGCCCTTCGCCCTTGAGTTCGTCGGACTTCGAGCACGCGACGGAGCCACAGCTGGCGTCGCCCTCGCAGGCTCGGTGGAAGGGCGTGTCCGGTGCACGCCCGCAGCGTGCGCACGACAGCGGAGCGCACACCCTGGCTTCCGAGCGTCGCGCCGCGCGCGCGGCCGGGTAGCACCCGTGGCCACTCCACCACTAAGCCGTGCATCCTGCGGGACGCGTGGGCGGAAGAGCGCGCGATTGGCGACTCTTCAGAAAATCCACAACAGAGATCGAGCACGCGGAGCACCCCGCGATTGCGCAGCAGGCAGCTGAACGCAACGCGACTGTGAAGCAGAAGATGAACCGCAACACTGCTGCGAGAAACAGGAAGAGGGTGGAAGAGGGAAAAGACAGGGCGAGGGGGGGAGCGGCCCGCGGGGAGGGCGACGAGGGAGGGCAGCGGCCCTGGGCGCCGCCTGGCGGGTGCTCGCACCTCGCGGGCGGCCCGAGCTGGCGCTGAGAGGGAGGGAGGGATGAGGAGGAGGGACGGGGAGGGAGGAAGGATGAGGAGGGAGGAGGAGAATGAGGAGGATGAGAAGGAAGAGGAGGAGGAGGAGGTGTGCCACGCAACCGGCGAAGCCGACGAACAAACGCATCCGTGCCCACGCCTGCTTCGGAGCCCGACCCCCCCCCCTAAAAAACGTGTCCTGGCAGCTGGCCAAACAATCCGCCGGCACTTCGGCGTGTGTGAGACGCTGTCGTCGTCATCGTCGTCGTCTTCGTCGAAGTCGTCGTCGTCGTCGTCGATATCGTCGTCGTCGTCGTCGTCGTCGTCGTCGTCGTCGTCGTCGTCGTCGTCTTCGTCGTCGTCGTCGACGTCGCGTCGTCGTCGACGTCGTCTTCGTCATCGTCGTCGCCGTCGCCGCCGCCGTCTTCGTCTTCGTCGTCGCCAGCCCCGAGAAAAGAAAACGAGCAGAGAAAAGAAACGTCGTAGTTGAGTCGATTCGCTCCCCCTTTTCCCCTTTCGGGGAGGGGGGGACGGGCGGGGGGTACAGGGGGGTGGCAAGGAGGGGGGTGAGAGGGGGCAGGGGGGGGGTACAGGGGAGGGGGGGCCCGGGTCAGATTCACGCCCCCCCCTGGGGTCCCGTCGGCCTCCCCTCCCCTCTCCGGTAGCCCGTGTGGACGGGAAGGACGGGGCCCGCCAGTGGTGAGGGAGGGTGGTCCAGGGCCAGAGTACAATGGAATTCGGCACGTCCCCCTACAGGGGGATTTTGGACAAAAATTGAAAAATGTCAAAAAAAAACACTCCAACAAGATTGAAAATAGTCGGAACATCGTCCCCTGACGATTTTTGGACTATTTTTGAACATTCCTCCTGTAGAGGGACAGGCCCGACTTAAAAGTATTACCAGCCACACTCCTGGGGGCCCCAGGTGGGTCCCGCAGGAGAGAGCGCTGGCGGGGGTTGGGGGAGGTCCCGCCTTCAGGGTCGGCGACACCGGCTGTAAGGTTAGGTCGGGCATGTTCCCCTAGAGGCGAATTTGTGGGCGAAAAATCAACCCCATACTTTTTTAACTATGTTGTAATTGTCCCCCTGTAGAGGGACATGCCCGACTTAACTGTAAGGCCTTCAGGCTGTACTCTCGATCTTCAACAAGCTCACGCACCAAATCACGCGACAGGTCAACCCCTTTATGCTCCAACAAAAAACAGAAGCTCTAGTCAGTAACATTGTCATCTGCAGCTGGAGGGCGTGACCACGATTCCACAGCGGTGGGGTCCCATCCAGTCTCAGATAACTAGCGCATGACGGCCTCCATCGGGCCCCGAATGTGTCTAGACCCATTCTGTACTTCAGTACCGCGAAACTTCTGCAGGGCCTTCGCCCAAGCAAGACACAAGGGGAAGAGGAGAGAGAGAGAAGGAGGGAACGGGGGAGGAGAAGGAGGGGGAGGCGGAGGAGGAGGAGGGAGAGGTGAAGAAGGAAAAGAAGGAGAGGGAGGAGGAGGAGGAGGAGGAGGAGGAGGAGCAGGAGGACCAGGAAAGACGAGGAGGCGGAGGAGGAGGAGGAGCAGGAGGAGGACCAGTTGTCGTCGCGGCCGACCCGTCCGCCCAGCTGCAGCACCTCCTCCCACAGCCCGGCCACGAGACTCTCCGTGCCCGCCCGCGGCGTGCCCCCCGAGCCGCAGCGGGCGCCCAGCTCCTCCGCCAGCAGGGCGGCCACGAGCTGACGGTTCGCCTTGCCGTTAGGGAGGCGCGGCAGCGGGCCCACGAGCAGCGGAGCGGGCCGGAAGGGCGCGGGCAGAGCCCGGGCGACCTCGCCGAGAAAGGGCGAGGATGAGGACGAGGACGGTGGTGATGGTGTTGACGACGAGGATGGTGGTGGTGGTGATGGTGATGGTGGTGGCGGCGGTGGTGATGATGGTGGTGGTGGCGGTGGAAGTGACGGTGATGGAGTTGGTGATGGTGGTGGTGGTGGTGACGGTGACGGTGATGGTGATGGTGATGGTACTGGTGATGGTAGTGGTGATGGTAACGGAGGTGATGATGGTGATGGTGACGGTGACGGTGATAATGGTGGTGGTGATGATGGTGGTGGTGATGGTGATAGTGACGGTGATGGTAACGGTGGTGGTGATGGTGATGGTGATGGTGATGGTGATGATGATGGTGATGGTGATGGTGATGGTGGTGGTGATGGTGGTGGTGGTGATGGTGATGGTGGTGATGGTTATGGTGATGGTGATGGTGACGGTGATGGTGATGAAAATGGTGATGGTGGTGGTGATGGCAGTGCTGATGTTGATGGTGGTGGTGATGGTGATGGTGGTGGTGATGATGATGATGGTGATGGTGGAAATCGTGGTGATGATAGTGGTGGTGATGGTGGTGGGGAAGATGATGGTAATGATCATGGTGATGGTGGGTGGTGGTGGTGAGGATGCTGGTGATGGTAATGGTGATAGTGGTGGTGGTGCTCCTGATGGTGTTGGTGATGATGGTGCTGAAGGTTATGGTGGTGATGGTGATGGTTATGGTGATGGTGATGGTGGTGGCGGTGATGGTGGCAGTGATGGTGGCGGTGGTGACGATAGTGATGGTGGTGGTGATGGTGATGGTAATGGTCGTGACGTTGATGGTGATGGTGATAGTGATGGTGATGGTACTGGTGATGGTGACCGCGGTGGTGATGGTGATGGTGCTGGCGGCGGTGATAAGGTGATGATGATGGTGATGGTGATGGAAGCGGTTGTGATGGTGATAGTGATGGCGATGGTGATGGTGATGGTAGGGTGTTGGGGTGATCGGGATGGTGATGGTGATTAGGGCTGTGGTGATGGTGATGGTGATGGTGATGGTGACGGTGACGGTGTCGGTGCTGGTGATGGTGATGGTGGTGGGGATGGTGATGGCGATGGTGGTGGTGACGATGATTATGATGGTGGTGATGATGGTGACGGTGATGGCGATGGTGTTGGCGGTGGTGATGGCGATGATGATGGTAATGGTGGTGGTGGTACTGGTGATGGTGAAGGTCAGGGGTGGTGGTGATGGCGATGGTGATGGTAGTGGTTGTGATGGCGAAGGTGACGGTGATGGTAAAAGTGACTGCGATGGTGAGGCTGATGGCGATGGTCATGGTGATTGATGGTGGTGATAGCGACCCCGATAAGGATACGGGATGGTGGTAATGATAGTGGCGGTGATAGCGATAGTAGTGGTGATGGTAATGGCGGCGATGGTAATGGTGACGGTCATGGTGATGCTGATGGTGATGGTGGTGGTGATGGTGATGGCGCTTGTGCTTGTGATGGTGTGATGATGGCGGTGGTGAGTGTGATGGTGGCGGTGATGGCGATGATGGCCTTGGCGAGGGTGACGGCGATGATGATGGTGGTGGCGATAGTTGTTGTGGTGATGGTGATGATGGTGATGATGGTGGCGGTGATGGCGATGATGGCCTTGGCGAGGGTGACGGCGATGATGATGGTGGTGGCGATAGTTGTTGTGGTGATGGTGATGATGGTGGTGATGGTGATGGTAACGGTGGTGGTGGTGGTGATGGCGATGGTGGGTGGTGGATGTGGCAGTGCTGGTGTTGATGGTGATGGCGACGGTAATGGTGGCGGGAATGACGACGGTGGCGGTGGCGGTGGTGACGGTGATGGTGACAGCGAGGGTCATGATGCTGATGGTGTCGGCGATGGTGCTGGTGATGGTGATGGTGGTGGTGGTGGGGACGGCGATGGTGATAGTGATGGCGACGGTTATGGCAATGGTGGTGGTGATGGCGACGGTGGCTGCTGGTGGTGGGCAACATGGTGATGGTGATGGGTGTTCTGGTGGTGATGGTGGTGGTGATGATGATGGTGATGGCAGCTGTGGTCTGGTGGTGATGACGGTGATGATAGTGGAGATGGCGACAGCGCTGGTGATGATGGTGATGGGAGCAATGATAATTGTGGTGGGGTGATAGCGACGGTGGCGGTGGTGGCGACGGTGATGGTAATAGTTGTGTGGCGATTGTGATGGTGACGGTGATGGTGCCGGCGGCGGTAGTGAAGGTGGTGGTGATGGTGACGGTGGCGTGATGGTGATGGTGACGGTGATGGTGATGGTGGTGCTGATGCTGATGGTGACAATGATGGTACTGGTGGCGGTGGCGGCAGTGGTGATGGTGCTGGTGGTGGTGATGGTGAGGGTGATGGTGGCGGCAATGCTGATGTTGATGGTGGTGGTTATGGTGACGATAATGGTGTTTGTGATGGTGATGGCCATGGCGATTGTAATGGCGTTGGTGCTTGTGACGGTGGCGGTGACGGTGATGGTGGTGGTGATGCTGCTGGCGCTGGTGGTGATGGTAATGGTGATGGCGATGGTGGTGGTGATGGTGGGTGCGACGGTCATGGTGAAGGTCATGGTGATGGTGATGGTGCTGGTGGTGGTGATGGTGATGGTGGTGGTGATGGTGATGGTGATGGTGATGGTGATGGTGATGGTGATGATGGTGGTGATGGCGATGGTGATGGTGATGGTGGTGGCGGTGATGGTGGCGATGGTAGTGGTAATGGCGATGGTGGTGGTGATGGTGGTGGCGACGGCGATGGTGAAGGTGGCGGTGATGGTGGCGGCGATGGTAATTGTGATGGAGACGGCGATGGCGATGGTAATGATGGTGGTGGAGTTGGTGATAACGATGGTCATGGTGATAGTGCAGGCGGCGAAGATGGCGATGGTGATCGTGGTGGTGGTGATGGTGATGATGACGGTAATGGTGGCGGTGAATGTGATGGCGATGGTGATGGTGATGGTGGTGCTGATGGTGATGAAAATGGTGATGGTGGTGACGGTGGTGGTGATGGCTATGATACTGGTTGTGATGGTGATGGTGATGGTGATGGCGATTTTGTTGGTTATGGTAACAATGACGGTGATGGTGGTGGAGATGGAGATGGTGATACTGATGGTGGTGGTGTTGATGGAAATGGTGATGGTGACTCTGACGGTGGTGGTGATGGTGGTGGCGACGGTGGTGGTGATGATACTGGTGACGGTGGTGGTGACGGCGGTGATGACGGCGATGGCGGCTGTGGCCCTGGTGGTGGTGATGGTGATGGTGACGGCGATGGTGGTGGCGGTGACGGTGGCGGAAATGGCGGTGGCGGTGGTGATGCCGATTCAATTGGATAGTGATGGTGGTGGTGATGGTGATGGTGATGGTGATGGCGATTCTGCTGGTGATGGTGATGGCGGTGGTGGTGGTGGTGACGGTCGCGGCGGCGGCTGCGATGGATGTGGCGACGGCGATGTCAATGGCGATGGTGGCGGCGGTGGCGGTGATGGCATGGTGGTGGCGCTGGTGATGGTGATGGTGATGGTGGAAGTGGTGATGGCGATGGTGATGGTGATGGCGGTGGTGGCGGTGGCGATGGCGATGCCGACGGCGTTAGTGATGGCGATTTTGTTTCAACGGAGTCGGAGCTCAGGGGGAGGAGCGGTTCCGGGGTGAAGGGGGTAGGGGTCATCTGCCCGCGGCGAGCGCGTTCTACAGCCGCCGCGCTCTACGCGCACCTGCAGGGGCGGGCCGCCCCGCCCCGCGAAGCGTGCGATCGGCGGCGCGCGCTTTCGCCTATCAGCAATCGGCAAGCCCGGGGCCAGGGCAACTCGGGAAGGCGAGGCCTCGCGAATGGCGCCGCGTCCATCTTCCCAGGGGCGCCCGCGTTCGCCGCGCAGCACGCGGCGTCCGCATCCACGGTGGGAGAAGCCGTATGCTTCACAACGAGCCCGCGCTCAAGATTCGAAATGGCGATGACAACTGCAGCCCCGCTAGCACAATCGTGGACAACGCGGGTTATATCCGCGAAGGCGCAGGCGCGCAGGTCGACGAAGCGAACACTCACACCCACCAGAATGGCAAACTTCCTGTTGGCTGCTGCGAAATGGTCCGCAGTGTGGGCTTTGCTTCAAGAGTCGGGGTGACTATGACCATCGTAATGGAGCGTGCGAAATTGTTGACAATGGGCGCGGCAGATCACCGAAATACACCACACTGCTACTCTCTTGCAAGCGTAGACGTCGACGATGGCGTCGCGAATCCGCGGCAACGAATACCTATTCGAAAAAGACAGAATCCGCCTAAACCGCCGCAATGATTGGCAATCGAATGAAACGAAATTCGCCGAATACGAACCCAGTGACTCCAGTGACAACGAATACCTACCAAATTTAAGACCTCGCGGTCCACGGGCGGCAGGCCTCCGAGCGTTTTAAAAATCAGCGCAGATGCCCCTCAAGCCAGCCCGTCCATTCCTGAAATTCTTCCTCCACGTAGCCTGGCGGTGCCGCTCCGCGTAGAAACCGCCTGTCTCCCAGGGGCTGGATGCCCAGAATCAGCTTCACCCGGCCGTCCTGCGCCGTCTTCGTGATCCTGCACGCCCCCCACCTGATCAGCTGCTCCGCGTCCTCTGGCTCCCCACAGGCGTTGAAGTCCTCCACGAGTTTCCTGATGGCCGTCATGCTGGTGCCGCCTACCTCGGGAACGGTTGCCAGCGCGTCCAGCATCGCCCCGCACAGGGGCGTGTGGGGTGGCCCAAGCGGCTGCGTTTCGGGGTTCTTCACAATGTCCTTGCCATACTGGTCGGCCAGTTCTGCGAAATGCTCCTGGTGGCGATAGTGATGGTAATGGTGATGGTGATGGTGCTGGTGGTGGTGATAGTGGCGTTGGTGATGGTGATGGTGATAGTGGTGGCAATCGGAATGGTGATGGTGATGGTGATGGGGATGGTGATGGTGATGGTTGTGATGGCGTTGGTGGTAGTATAGTCATGGTGGCGTTGGAGGCGTTGGTGATGACACTAGAGTTGGTGGCGTTGGTGGTGGTGGCGTTGGTGGCGTTGGTGGTGATGGCGTTGGTGGCGTTGGTGATGGCGTTCGTGGCGCTGGAGGTGATGATGATGATGATGCTAATGGTGATGGCGATGGTGATAGAGATGGTGGTGGTGACGGTGATGGTGGTGATGGTGGTGGTGATGGTGATGGTGATGGCTGTGGTGATGGTGATGATGACGGTGATGGTAGCGGCAATGGTGACGGTGATGGCGATGGTGGTGGTGTCGATGGCAATGGTGATGGTGACTATGACGGTGGTGGTGATGGTGGTGGCGATGATGATAGTGACGATGGTGGTGATGGTGGTGGTGACGGTGATGGTGATGGTGATGATGACGGTGACGGTGACGGTGATGGTGATGGTGATGGTGATGGCGAAGGTGATGGTGACGGTGATGGTGATGGTGTTGGTGAAGGTGATGGTGATGGTGGTGGTGATCGTGATGGTGATGGTGATGGTGATGGTGATGATAATGGTGATGGTGACGGGAATGGTGATAGTGATGGTGATGGTGGTGATGGATGGTGCTGGTGATGGTGATGGTGTTGGTGGTGGTGATGATGGTGGTGATGGTGATGGTGATGGTGATGGTGATGGTGATGGGGGTGGTGATGGTGGTGGTGGTAATGGGGATGGCGATGGCGATGGGGATGGTGATTGTGACGGTGGTTGTAAATCGTGACGGCGATTGTGGTGATGGTGATGGTGATGGTGAGGATGATGGTGATGGTGATGGTGACAGCGATGGTGGTGGTGATGGTGATGACTATGGTGATGGTGATGGTGGTTCTAAGCCGTGATGGTGAGTCTGGTAGTGGTGGCAATGGTGATGGTGATTATGACGGTGATGGTGATAAGTGAGGTCGTGATGGTGATGGAGATGGTGGTGTTGGTGGGTGATGATGATGGTGACGGTTGCGGTGACGGCGGTGGTGGTGATGGTGAATGTGATGGTGATGGTGATGGTGGTGGTGGTGATGATGGTGGTGGTGATGTTGATGGTGACGGTGACGGTGATGGTGGTGGTGGTGGTGCTGGTGATGGCCAGAAGGGCGCGGGCAGGGCACTGGCGACCTCGTCCGACCAATCGTCGGGCGCGGCTGCGAGAACGCCGTCGCCAGATGCGTGCGGCTCGCACAGCGCCACCAGCGACACGCCATGCAACACCTGTGAGGACAACGAAAGACACCGATCACGCTGATCCCCAGACCTCTCCTGGGGTGCGTTCGGACCAGGACTCGGAGGCGAGTGCAGCAGTGGCGACGAGAGCTCTCCAGGACGAGCAGCGATATCGGTACCTTTGTCCTCCTCGTAGCACCGCCACTGCGTCGCGCACGCCTTCGATGGCGCGCAGTACCGCCTCCACTTCGCCCAGCTCGACGCGGTGACCGCGCACCTTGACCTAGAAGATGGAGGATGATGCACAGACACCGATCCTGGCCAGGCCCCTCCTGGACCCAAGATCGGTGCGTACGCACTTCTGAAATGTCCAGGGCGGCATATACACCCCGATCCTCGGGGGGGGTGGCAGTGGGGGGTGACCACGATGGGAGGGTGCCGAAAAAATCCATTCAGGGGCCCATTAGGGCCCCTTTGGGCCCCTGCTGGCTCCCAAGGAGGCCCGAAAGGGCCCCTCGAGGGCCCTTCTCTTCACCCCCTCAGTGAGGTCACCCCGATCACCACCCACCCGAGATCGGTCTCTCGACCCATGCCCCCCGAGACAGGCTTTTTCTCATCCTGGGTCGTTCTTGTTGACGGTCCCGAGGCCCAGTAGAAGGGCCACCAGAGGCCCAAAAGAGCGAAAAACATCGGCCGTGATGTGTTTACCAATCCTCCTCCTCCTCCTCCCCCTCCTCCTCCTCCTCCTCCTCTTCCTCCTCCTCCTCCTCCTCCTCCTCTTCCTCCTCCTCACCATCCTCCTCCCCTTGCTAATACGGTTCTTCGTCGTCGTCGTCGTCCTCATACTCCTCCTCCTCCTCCTCCTCCTCCTCCTCCTCCTCATCCTCTTCCTCCTCTTCCTCCTCATCCTCTCCTCCTCCTCCTCCTCCTCCTCCTCCTCCTCCTCCTCCTCCTCTTCCTCCTCCTCCTCCTCCTCCCCCCCCCCTCCTCCTTGGCATGATTTTGCAAGGTCGGCGGGACCAGCCGCAAGGCCTTTGCAATAGCAAAAAACCTCCGTCGTGATAGTTGATGACACGAGAGGGTCTGAGTACACCGATACTGGGCCCAGGACGGCCTGGCCAGGATTGGTGTCTGCGCATGCTTCCCATCCCCTCCTCCTCGTCCTCTTCCTCCGCCTCCTCCTCCTCATTCATTCATGATTTTACACAGAACAGGATGAGAGAGCAAACGTCATGTCATGTGAAGAGGGGAGATGCCGAGTCACATGGTAGAGCCACCTGTGTTACTGCTTCAGAAAAGCAGATTCATTCATTCATTCATTCATTCATTCATTCATCGATGAGGCGGACGGTTCGAAGCCTACACAGAACAGGATGAGAGAGCAAACGTGGAGATGGATGAGAGAGCATGTCATGTGAAGAGGGGAGATGCCGAGTCACATGGTAGAGCCACCTGTGTTACTGCCAAGGGCGCGCGAGCAAAGAACAGGGACGGGCAAGACAATTCAGAAAAGCAGAGCCTTCACACAGGAGGTGATGGTACTGCCAGCGGCGCGCTGCACTCCGAAGTGCAGCACCCGCACGTTACTACTGTTTTAACGTGAATGGGACACGAGCGCCAGCCCGCTAGGCTGGGGCACACCTTCACGTGCGGGCCCTTCCCAGGGCTGAGCTACAGTCCAGCGAGGGAGAGTGATTGAGCCCTGAGTCCTTGACGTCACAGTGCCCACAGGTTGGTGGTTGGCGGTCGCCTGCGAGGGAAGGTGATGGAGTCGGTGCGAGGATGGTGCTCAGTATAGGGGTCTAGGCGTAGGTCCAGCCGTCGACGGAGCCCTGCCCCCCTACGTCGGTCCCAAGACAACGGCCTTGTACCAAGGACGGTGCCAGGGGCAGAGCCCCACGGGGCTCCTTGTCGCAGCTCTTGGTGTGCCTCGGGGAAGCCCTCACGGATTTGTTGCAAGAGGGCTGCAGCCAGCAACCTGCATAATTGGGACGGCAATCTGCAAGAGGCAGCCTCACCCGACCACTCTGATGCAATGTGTGCCGATCGCCCTGCCTGATGACTAGCATGGTTGCATAAGGGTCCCCCCATGGATGTCACGCGGCCTGGCGTCAAGGGCAGCCATCCTAACACCCAATAGAACCGTGGGCTTGCGAGCACAATCGCCGAACCTGCAAAGATGGAGGGTGTGCTTGGAAACCCCCGCCAGTTTTGCAAGAGTCTTGACCTCTGGTAACGTCCAAATGCTGGGTGCGTTCTCCACTGAGTCCGCTTGAGCTGGATGCGCAAGAATGGCCGGGATGCAGAGCTTACAGGCCTCGTAAAGCAGCAAGAGAGATGCTCGAAGTAGCCTGTTGTCATGATGAACCTGGTCACTCTCGATTGAGTTAAGTGCTCCCCCCAAGGGTTGTTGGCATCACGAAGGGGGCGTGGGTCTATCCTCTCCCGATGCGAGTGCAGCTGTCCAGCTGGGGTCCACGTCCTAGGGGGGGTAGCAACAATGCCCGCCACCCTGCCTGACCTTAGGAGATCAAGCCATACGTCCCCAGAGGAGTCATCTGCCAGGTTAGCTAGCGGCGAGGTGTGATCCACATTGATGCTCAGCACGGCACACCCAGTGGGAAGGAGGGCTTGAAGGCGCTCAAAGTGGTTCTGAAGATGATCACCCTGTCTCCGAGGTCCCCCGAAAAGGTGCAACACAACTTTGAGGGGGCGAACAGGGAGCCTCAATGGCAGGCACACCCCAAGGTCAACAACAGGAGGGGGAGCCACGGGTGGGGTAATGACAGGCTGACACCTAGAAATCGGCGCCCGAGGGGCAATCGGCGGTCCCTGGCATTGAAGCCAGGGGAGCGCAGCATAGCTATCAGAACGACCTTGCTTCCTATGTAATGCCGCTTCTTGCTTGGCTACATGGCGCGCCTGTGCTAGTTCTTGTGGTGAGGGAAGTCGGCCCGATGAGTGCCAAGCGATCTTGCAAGCTGGAGCGTTCGAGAGATGCTTGACCAAACGTGCAACATGTCGGAAGTCACGCACGCACACCTAACACAGCGTGCCAGTCGCAATGTTGCTAGGCGACAGTGGCAACTTGTGCACTTGGCCAACATGTGCGTGAAGCTGTTGTGCACTGCGTGCAACATGACCACATTCATAACATACAAAGGAAGATGCAGTGGGGGAAGTGTCAGAAGGGCTCGATGTGCCCAGCCCGATATGGTGGAGTCTGCGACGCCAAACCTCTAGGTGGGCCTGGTCACTGTAAAACCTCTTGGCCTTGGCTACTGCACTGTGTATCATGCCTTTGTACTGCCTGTTGTTGGCCCTGACTAGTGACATCCAGGTTTCATCTCCATCGTCTGGTCAAGGGCACTCGGGAACAAACAAATGGAGCCACCCAATGTCAGCACGGATGAGCGAAGGTCATCCCCAAGGGTCATCCCAATTCAGGTCCAGGAGCGCCCTGAGCACGGGAGCAGCCTGCCGCAGAACCCTAGACAGAAGACGCAAACGCCCCACGGTGAGAACTACTTTTGTTGGGAGGCGGTTGGCGTCCAGCAGCAGGTGATTATCTGAGTTGTTGGTGGCTGGCAGACCCGCAGCCACACGATACATCGCTAGATGAGCCGTCTGGGTGTTCTTGAACTGTGCAGCAGAGAGACGGGTCCAAACAGGGACACCAAAGAAGAGCACAGAGGAGGCTAGGGCATCAGCCAACGTAACTTTTTTAGCTAAGGGAGCTGACAACGGGGGGCAACGGTATGCCGAATGGGCCGCAGGGCCTGATAGGCTTTGGAGGTACAGGTCTGGACATCGGGTCCCATGGAGCCATCAGCCGCGACTTGGCTGCCGAGAATTTTGTGCACCACGGTGGTAGGAAAGGAAAACCCCCAACGCTCCGAGGTGATCTCCGTGATGGCCTTGCCTGGTAGACTACGCTCCTCTCCTCCTCCTCCTCCTCCTCCTCCTCTCCTCCTCCTCCTCCTCCTCCTCCTCCTCCTCCTCCTCCTCCTCTTCTCCTTCCTCCTCCTCCTCCTCCTCCCTCCCTCCTCCCTCCTCCTCTCCTCCTCCTCCTCCTCCTCCTCCGCCTCCTCCTCCGCTCCTCCTCCTCCTCCTCTTCCTCCTCCTCCTCCTCTTCCTCCTCCTCCTCTCCTCCTCCTCCTTCTCCTCCTCCTCCTCCTCCTCTTCTTCTTCTTTTCTTCTTCTTCTTCCTCCTCCTCCTCCTCCTCCTCCTCCCCTCCTCCTCCTCCTCCTCCTCCTCCTCCTCCTCCTCTCCTCCTCCTCCTCCTCCTCCCTCCTCCTCCTCCTCTTCCTCTCCTCCTCTCCTCTCCTCCTCTTCTTCCTCCTCCTCCTCCTCCTCCTCTTCTTCCTCCTCCTCCTCCTCCTCCTCCTCCTCCTCCTCCTCCTCTCTTCCTCCTCCCCTCCTCCTCCCTCCTCCTCCTCCTCCTCCTCCTCCTCCTCCTCCTCCTCCTCCTCCTCCTCCTCCTCCTCCTCCTCCTCCTCCTCCTCCTCCTCCCTCCTCCTCCTCCTCCTCCTCCTCCTCCTCTCCTCCTCCTCCTCCCCTCCTCCTCCTCCTCCTCCTCCCCTCCTCCTCCTCCTCCTCCTCCTCCCTCCTCCTCCTCCTCCTCATCCTCCTCCTCCTCCTCCCCTCCTCCCCTCCTCATCCTCCTCCTCCTCCGATGGGCCTGGTGGTCCATGCGCCCGAGCACGTGCAGGGCCCCGTCGGCATCGAAGCGGCCGCGGTCCCCAGTGTGGAACGAACCGTGGAAAGCGGCGCCGCGCCAGTAGCCGCGGGCCACCTGGGGCCCGACCATGACGACCTCACCCTCGCGCTCCTCGGAGGAGGGGAGCGTGGAGGGTGCAGGCAGCGCCACCCCTATCTCGTTTTCGCCTTCTTGGGCCTGCCGGGAGGCCCTCGCCGCCATCGCCGGAGCCGCCCCGCAGCTGTGGCGCCAGAGCGCACCCCGCGTGAGAGGCCCGAGGCCGAGCATTGCGAAAAACCTGGGTGCCGAGTGTTGCCCCCGTCCTCCCCCCCGGCTTCCGGGTCAGAGCTCTAGACCTAGGAAGAGGAGGAGGAGCAGGATGACGAGAAGGAAAGAGGTTTTGTGCTCCCTCTGTGGACGCCGAGCACGCCAGCTGCAGAGAGCGCACTACGCAGGAGCCCCACTCTTTCGTGCGAAGAAACCCAAATCTGATAGAGCCCAGCTCTCCAAAACCACCTCTGCGCGTCCTGTGCGCGAGTGCTTGCCTCGCTCGAAGCGGCTTCGCCGCTCCTTGGCCATCTTGGCCGCCACGAAACCTGACTGGCGGGCTGGGCAGGTTTCTCCCAGCCCTGTCGGCCGAAGCTGCACGCACTGCGCACATAGGACACACAGCAGAAGTCGCCTTGCGCAGCAGGCAAGCCACTGGACCCGATGATCGGCCCCACAGAACATGCGAGGCTGCATGCTGCCGCAGCCGTCGCCAGCTCGGAGGCACCTCGCGCCCGCACTCGGAGGCCATCCCGGCCTTCCAGCTCCGAAACCCGCGCAAGCACTGGACGCACCGCCAGCGGCCGTCGGCCACCACGCGCAGTTCGCGCTGGAGAAAACACGGTCTGGCCACCGACAGGGGAGAAGCACGCGGGGGCAGGTGGGCCCATTCCGCCTTGGGAGCTGGCCCACTCGCCAGCACCCGCCCCAATCTCAATGGGCCGCGGCGCACCTCGGCGCACGCGCCCCCCAAGCGCACCCCGTCTCGGGCATGCATGGGCCACGAGTTGAGCGCCTGCTTGGCCGCTTCGTCGGCCCACGCGTTGAGGGCGACCCGCCACTCACCAGCGCTCTGAGGGGCGGCCGGGACGTCCTGATGGGACTTGATCTTGAGACCCGCGCCATACGCGAGGCCTCCACGCCTGACCCGGCACCAGTGCCCAGCGTCAACCCACGCTGGACTAATGGTGCACACGCACCCGCTTGCTCCAGCAGCCAGCGCTGCTGCGTCGTCGCCTAGGCAGGCAGGCGACCCGCCTGAGCATTCAGCCCCAGGACAGAAGGCCTGGAGCTCAGCCGCACGTGCACTGGGAGGGAGCTGGGAGGAGAGGGACGCGAGGAGCTCGCGAACGACCCCCCTCCCCCCTCCGCTGCGCGACCGCCCATCCCGCCCCGCGAACTTCTTCGAGGCGGCTGGCGGCGGCCGAGCCATCTCCCGCCGGCGCCCGGTCTGGGCGAAACGCGAAGCGATTCGGATCGACAGGCGCATCGTTCTCAAGGGCCCGCACGATCATCTTCGCTGGCGCGCAGGGCGGGGGGGGGCCTCGGGCCAGACAAGCAAAAACGGCGCCACAGGACAGGAGGGCCCGACATCCCCATCGGCCTCGCGCCGCCGTCGCTGCAGGAGGGAGGGGGGAGGTGGCGCCACTTTTGCCTGGCCCTCGGCGTCGGCCGCGCACGCTCCGAGGCGGTGGGCCAGGTCGTCGGCCACCCCGCAGCGCCGACAGGCGCCTGCGCTCTCGTTGCAGCCCCATTCGGCCACCTTCGTTCCCGAGAGGTGGACGCCGCCCATGACGGAGGCGATGGCCCACTCCCCGAGCGGCGCGAGGCGCATGGGCCCAGTCGCGCTGGCCACCATCTCCCACCACACGGTGGGGAGGTCCTGCTCGCTCAGCTCTTCGCGGCGCCTGACGCTGTCGGCGGTCCTTTCCCGCGCGCGGCCGACGACGTCCTTTCGGTAGAAATGCTCCACGCGCTTCGGGGCGCGCTCTAAGGCCGAGATGCGACCGAACCGCGGCGAGACGAAGGCGGCGACGTTCGCGACCTACCATCCCACAACCGTTGTGGCCCCCAGCGCTGCGCCGACGGGGCCCGCCCCCGCCCCCGCCCTGCCATTTAGGTTGTCCTGCAGGGCCTGCTCGAAGACGCGCCTGATCGCGGTGATCGGCAGCACCTTGCCACGGCGGCGGCGCTGGTCGGTCGCCCCCCACCACCACTCCTCCAGGCACCTGCCAAGGGGCACGAAGGCTGCCTTGCCCGCTGGGTCCAGCTCGGGGCGGGCGGCGCCGAAGACGTCGGACGACATGCGGCCGCGCCCGCAGACCTGCTTAATGATGCGCCTGAGCCCCTCGGGCCCCTGGAGCGCGAAGCCGCTGACCTCGCCCCCCCCCCCCCCCCCCCCCCCCGCATCCCCCGCCCCGCCCCCGCCGCCGCTGCCTCTTCATGGGCAGCATCTCGGAGCGCAGGATGCGCCCAGTCTTGCCGTAGGCCTTCATGGCACGAAAACTCATCGCCATCTTCTGCTCCGCCGCCTTCCACCTGGCCCCGCGCACAGGCCCTGGGTGGATGCTTCGCGCGACTGCTACGCGTCGTCGCTGGCATGCACGCAAGTCAGCTCCAAGTTGGCGGACCGCTAGGGCAGGCCTGCCTGGCTATCGGCGAAGGTGCCGACGCCGATGCTTGCCCTGGCTCCACCGCGATGCGTTGTCGGCCTTGGGGTGGCCGAGCCCTGCTAGTCTTAGCCTGCCCTCGCGCGTGAGCTCGTCGCTGTTCCCCGGGATGGTGCCCTTCGCGTCTGCCACCTGCATCTCGAGCTCCCCATGCAGCACGCTCCTGAGCTCGCGCGCGGCCTGCTCCAGGATGTCCATGCACGCGGCGCTGTTGTGCGCAACCACCTCCCGGCTGAAGTCGCCCGCGTGGACCGCGATGCCTACCTGCGGGCGAGCTTCGGCACGCGCCTCCAGCTGGCCCAGCAGGTGGGCCCGAAGCGCGCAGGCCGCCGAGAAGCACCCCGCCACGACGCCGATCTCAGGGCATCGGGCCTCGCCTGCCGAGCCGTCTAGCACGAGGGCGCGTCGCCACCTGAACGCCCCGACGATCACCCTGAGGGTGCGCAGCGGGAGCCGCGCCGGGCAACCGATGGGGGCGCAGGATGGCGTGGGAGACCTTCTCGAAAGCCTTGGCCAGGACCCACAGCAGGATGAGGCAAGCCATCTCCTTCCCCGTCGCGCCTTCGGCCCTCGCCGCCGCGCGCCACGCGCAGTCCGCGACCTTGCGGGAGGTGCCCGCGTTGAAGATGCCCTTCTCGTCCAAGCCGTTATGCTGGACGCGGAGCTACCCAGTGTGGCACCTGCCCCACGCTCGGTACAGGCTCTTGATCCGCCCAATGGGTCGCCGACCTCCCGCTGGTTGAACGTACTGGGCGGTCAACATATCCTGCTCGCCGGTGGGGAGCACTCCCGCCTCGGTGAAGAGGTTGAGCAGCTGGGTGAGCGGCCCCACGTCACTGAGCCATGCCAGGCGGCGTGGGTGGATCCCGCCAGGCTGGCACGTCTTGGCATTGAAGGACCTGCTGACCTTGCTCAATTGCTTCGCGGTGGGGAAGTGCTCGCGCTGCTGGTGCCCATTGGTCTCGATGGCGGCCGTGGTGGCTGCCTGCAGGGAGATCGTCGGGCTTGTCGGGCGGCCTGGCGTTCCATACTTTGGCCCACTCCTGCTGGTGTTTGGTGAAGAAGGCCAGTGGGCATGCGCAGCGATCCTGGATTACGCTCGACTTTCCCGTCCACGACCTCTGCCGCACCTTCGCCAGGATCCTTCGTCCACTTGTGTAGCATGGGAGCTCCTCGTAGGTGATCCTTGACCAGTGTTTCAGGCCAGCTCCTCACCTGCCTGCCAGTGTCGTAGGCCACTGGGGATGATCTTCCCACGTGCTCCGCGAACCTGGCCACGAGCTCGATCTCCCCGATGATGGTATCGACGTTCTTGCTGCGCCTGTCCTGGTCCAGCGGCACTGCGGCCGCAGGCTGCTGTTGGTGTTCTTCATCAGCGTCACTGACCTGGTGCGACGGCGCTGGGACTGCAGCCTCCCCTGTGGGCTCATGGCCCCTACGCTCGGCCACGTTCTCAGCGCCAGCTATAGTCCTGCTGTAGCCGTGGTCCTCGAACCCGTGCTCGAGGAAGTCCTGCTCCGCATCCAGCTCTGCGAACGGGTCAACCGACGTCCCGCCCACGCTGCCCCTCCAGCAGCGGCACGCTCTCCCAGCCTCGCGCCAGCGGCGGCCCGCGGGCTGGCGTTTGGAGGGCCCACGGGCACCTGGGCAGCCTCTGAAGATGCTGAAGTTGAACCTCGCCAGCTGTGTACGCCGACAGGCACTTCATGCACGTCGTCTTCTCCCACCGCGCTCTCGATCTGCTCGAGAATGGCCTGGACCAGATGGTGCCACTCGTCGTAGTCGTCCAGGGTGCGGCACGCATTGCCAAATTTCCCTGTGTGCTGCACGGCGGTGCGGGGGCAGGAGGAGGAGGAGGAGGAGGAGGAGGAGGAGGAAGAGGAGGCCTCCTAGATAGGGTCCGAGTAGATGGAGTCGGAGGATCTCGCCGCATCGCCGATGCATCGGTCATGCACTGGCGACGTCGGCGATGCATCGGCGAGGTCGGCGTGGAGAAAACCAGGCCTCACATCGAGCCGCATCGCTTCTGCATCGCCAGTGTGTCATGGCCGATGCATCTGCGATGCGGCGCGTTCCTCCGACCTCCTCTGCTCAGACCCCACCTGGGAGGCCTGGAGAGCTCGGCTACCCAGCGGCCGTTCGGGACCATCCGGGTACCCCGAGAGCGCCATCCGGCGAGGCGCAGCAGCTGGAAGCCCGTCGAGCACCGTCCGGAAGAAAAAGAAAACAAAACAAAAAAACTCTAGCCTCGAGCCGCCGAGAGCCTCGTCCTCTGCGCCCTCCTGCCTGCCCGCCTTCCCCCGCGAGGGGGCGGCGATGTCAGCACTCCCGTCGGGGGTGGGCAGAGCCCCCGTCGGCACAACTGCGGGCCCCAAGAATGTACGCCACCATCACCTCCATTCCTCCTTCCTCCTCTGCTCTACCCTTCCTCACCTCTTTCCTGGGAGAGGGAGGGGGCGAGGGAGGTGGTGGTGGTGGTGGTGGTGGTGGTGGTGGTGGTGGTGTATATCTCTGAGCCTCGTCAGCACAACGCCCTCTCGTGAGAGCAGCCAGGAGCACTTCACGTGAGCAAGGAATCGCATTCCGAGTGCACCCCAGCGGGACAGCTAATCGACGTCAAAAAACAACAGCCGACGGTATCCAGCGATAGTTACACACGTCGATTAACGAAACCGACTGGGGACTGCACCTGCGCACTGGAATGCCAATGTCGAGTGATCCCATGCAGACTTCCTCAGTCGACTTGCCTGGGGGGGCTCGAGAGCCTCTGAAATCCGGGCGGCTCTGGAGGATGCCCTCGGGCGCCGCGGCCTCCTCGGAGCGGTCCGTCACGCTCTGAGAGCGTCTGGGAACGCTCTGGGACGGATTCGTCCTCGTCCCGTATAGCCCCGCCCGACCGACTCTTGGCCTCCCCAGCTCCGGGTCCGTGCTCAGCTCCGGGCGCACCGCGGCGGGGTCGATCGCCCAGCCCACGTGGGTCGAGCCCCCCTCGGGGCCGAGCGTCTGCGCCACCGTCCCCTCCGTCGCGCCGTACAGGTTCCGGGCGCGCGGCACGAGGGAGGCCAGCTGCATGCGCAGAGGAAGAAAAAACTGCACAAGCATGAACTTTCGACGACGCGGCCAGGGCGAGGACAGAATCGGGTCAAGACAACTCGAGAATCTCTGAGATCCGGCGGCTCTGGAGGATGCCCTCGGGCGCCGCGGCCTTCCCAGAGCGTTCCGGAACGCTCTGAGAGCGTCCCGGAACGCTCTGGAACGGACGGATTTGTCCTCGTCCTAGCCCCGTCCGACTTTCGGAGCTCCGCGCGAACTCTTTAGATCTGCGGAGCGCCAGGGGCGGCGCTGGAGGCGCCGCCAGGGGGCCCAGCGCCGGTCCAGGAAGTCCGCACGAAGCGCCGAGGGCTTATGTTCGTGTCGTTTTTTGTCCTTCGAATGCGGAACGGCTCCCCCCCCGACAGGCCGCAAACGTCCACGGGGCCCTCCAGCAGGCCCCACCAGGAGGGGGTGGCGAAGAGGTGGGTGGCGTCCAGCCGGAGCAGCTCGCCCTGCAGGTCCTGGAACAGGCGGTCCCTGCCCTCGAAGAGCACCGTGCCGCCCACCATCAGCGTGCGCATGACATCGGAGGGCGGAAGAGGAAAAAACGGCGTAAGCATAGACGTTCGAAGGTCCGCGTGGACCTTGTGGGGACAAAGAGGTACTCATACCGAGACTCCCCAGACCTCTCCCTGGGTGCGTTCTGATCAGAACTTCGAAGGGAGTCCATCCATGGCGACAGAGAACTCTCCAGGACGAGCAGCGATATCGGCACCCCTTCCTCCTCCAAGACCCTCGAACGTTGATGATGACTGTCGCTGTTTCTTCTTCGAGAGAGGCAAGGGTCCCAGTTCACCGCCGTTCGGGTGCTGCTAGAAGTGCCCCTGGCCCAAAGTGCCCCCAGAATTTCCAAGGAGGCCCCCACGGCCTCCTGATGCACCCCTTACGAGGCCCAGTGTGCCGGAGGGGCTCCAAAATTGAGCGAAGAGCTGAAGGCACCTTGGGCCAGGGGCACTGGTAAAAGCCCCCGCGCTGTCGGCACGAGCATCCGGCTGCTCGCGCCCAGGCCCGTCCTCCGGTTCAGCGCCTCACAGTACAGCCGCAGCTGCCCGTGCTCCACGGCCACGCCTTTCGGCCTGCCGGTAGAGCCCGACGTGTACACCTGAGCATCGTTTTACTTACCAACATCCCCATGGCAGGGCCGTGGTCCCATTGGCCGACTTACCCCCTAGATGGATACATCGATGTGTATATATATATATAGAGAGAGAGAGAGATGCTAGTCAGCGTGGACCCCAAACAATGCGTCTGGCAATGTCGATTCTGCGATATATGTGGTGCTATCTATGCGGTGCAATTGAGTACCCTGCACCGCGCCTCACCACCTCCACTGCTCGCGCAAACATCCCACCCACCCACCCGCAACTTGGTCGCAGGACTTCTTAAGACAAGACCGTGACGGTAGGTACCACATGGCACTTGGCCACGACACCGACGCCGACGACGACAGCGACAACGACGACGACGGCGCCGCCGACACCGACTACGACGACACCGCCGACGTCGACTTCGACGAAGACGACGACGACGCCGACGCCGACGACGACGACGAAGACGACGACGACGTCGCCAACGAAGACGAGGTGCAATCTACCTTACGCAATTTGCGTCGTGCAATGTAAAGTATGCAACCCACGTAGTGCAGCCCAAGTGGTGTGATCTACGAAGTACCAGATGCTCTGATGTATGTATATGTATACATATATGTGTATATATATGTGTGTATGTGTGTATGTGTGTATACCTATACATATTCATATATATATATATATATATATATATTTATATATATAAATATGTGATATATGTATATATATATATATGTGTGGAGCAATATATGTGGTGCAATTCACGTTGACTGTCTTGAAGCTGTCCTCTTCACTGCTCGTGCAAACATCCCACCCTCCCACTCGCAACTTGGTCGCAAGACTTCTTAAGACCGTGACGGTGGGTACCACATGGCACTTGGCAACGACAGCGACGCCGACGACGACAGCGACAACGACCACGACGACTACGCCGACGACGACTACGACGACACCGACGACGCGTCCGACGATTTCGACGACGACGACGACAACGACGACGACGACGACGACGACGACGACGACGGCGACACCGACGACGACGACGCCGACGCCGACGACGACGACGACTAGGGGTCGCGTGATTTCGGGGTTTTGGGCGGGCAACATAATGCAATTTGAAACGGAGGGTCGTCGCAAATATTTGCAACGTTTGGGGGGTCTGGCACGAAAAATCACGATCACGTTTTCCTGGGACCACCCAACAAAATATTGCATTTTTTGGAAGCACGCTACTTTTTTCAAGTGGCCGCGCGCCTCGGGGCCTTGAGCGGGGCCGGCGGAGATTATAAGGTAGAGCTCATTTTTGTTGCCATTCACCGTTGAACTAGCATTGGTTGCAAGGCACATCGTTGGAAATCGCGTTGCCTCGAAGATTGCGCAGTCATGACACACCTTGTCCGTAGCCGTTTTGGCTCAGAATGGATCCTGCACTGATATGGAAACTTCGTTTCATTTTCAGCACGTATGTTTCAGTGTCAAGGGGTTGCGCAGTCATCCCAGAGACAAACTTGACAGATGTTATATGGTGCTTCGAACATCTTGTAGGTGAGGCGGTGTGCAAAGACGCAGCATCGCAGAGTTGGGATAAATATTACCTGCCTGTTTCAAAAGGTTTCGAGCTCGACGTTGTCTTCGGGGTAATGCAAACACTGGGAGTGGCATGTACTTGGCAAAGCTGGAAAGACGGCTGGGAGGCCGTGCGACCACGACATATAGAGGGATCTTGTGTAGTTTTCGATCCTGGCAGCGCGGCTGCAGCTGCTGTACCTCACGACGTCGGGGTCGGCACACAACGGATTGTTCGAAAGCAGTTCGAGCGAGCGAATACGTTGCAACGCCAGCTGCACGTCGAGAGAAAGGCCTACAAACGTTTGGAGACTAAGCTAGCCGTTGCGACGAATAAGATCGATATTCTACAACAGCAAATCGTAGAGAGAAAATCTGGGCAACACTTATCATATCGTGCTGGGATGAACGCTGCCCTGCGTCGCATCACATCGCGCGTCTCAGCCGCGCGGTGTGGCTTGTCAATGGGCATGGACATTAGCTCGACCACTGTCTCAGCATGGGGGATCAAGGCGGACGCAGCCTTGGTCGCGTCCAGCAGGAGGTTTCACGCAACCACGGCCGATGAGCATGATTGTGCGATTTACTTTATTCGGAGCGATGCGACGAATGCCGAAGTCTGGCAAAGGTCGAAATGAATGACGGTTGTGACTTTTACAGACTACTTCAGTTGGGACAACGAGCAGGAGGAATCACGAACAGATTTTGCTGACCTGCAAGTCGTCGAGGGATCGACTGGCAGGGATTGTTACGCGATGGTGCTGAAAGCTTTGGAATCGATTGGGGTACCAAGACCATCAGATCCGATAGCAAACAAAGTTTCCATATTTTGCATGGTAACTGACGCTGGTTCCGACGAGTCCAAGATGAGACGCCTTGCAAAGGAGTCCGTTCGGTTGAATGAGGCGCCAGGGGTATACTTCTTCGACTGCGATTGCTTGCACCACCAGCACCAGCTCATCAAGGGTGCAATGCTGCAGCGAGGTTCAGAACTCCTCAGGCTGTGCGAGTCGGCTATTGTAAAATATCCTGCGACCGTCGCGAAGATCTTCAACGTATGGAGGGAGCACGCCAGGTCAATTCATTGCTTATGGATTCTCAAAGCGAACGTCGCTTCAGCACAGAAGTTCACGTCTCGCAGGCCGCCGAAGTGCATCGCCAGCAGGTGGGGATCGTTCTTTACGTGCGAGTCTGTTCTCGCTGCCATGCCGAATAAAACCATGGCCGAAGTATTCATGGCCGCATCGAGCTCAAAGACACGCAAGCTCGCCAAATAATACAAAGAAGAAACCGACGTGGAGAAAGCAATAGAAGCCATGATGTCGATAGACGAGATCGGCAGGGAGGATCGAGACGACTACAAAGAGAAAGTGTCCAAGTGGTTGTCAGGCGCCACCGCGGGCCTCAATTGTGATATATTTTGGATGGTCTTGCGAATTTCACACCGCGTTGGCACCGTCATTGACGAATTCAGCAATTTTCTGCAAAGTCACGACAAGAGAGCCAATGCGGGAAAGCCTGGATGCCTAGCGGCGCTGGCGGCGGGCAAAGCAGATTACTTCCATACCAAATTATCTGAGCTTGCTGTTCGACGGTCGGCTTGGGGGGGCGCGCTACAGCAAGATAACGACTTACCCTGTGGCATTCGTGCCAAGGTTCTGATGGGCGCGACGTGGTACGCAGCGTGCGCTGCCGCTGACTTTGATAACCGCATCTGTAGCAGATGCAACGTCTACCCAGTGCGACTGCTGGCGCTCGGGGTTGGTGACCCCGACGGCCCGAACGAGCTGAGGAGGAACATCGCTCGCGACGTGGTGGCGTTTCGGCCTGACACCGACTTGAGCAAGTTGGGGGTGGACTTCAATCTATTCAGGCTCCGCGCTCAGTTCCACGATGATTTCGTGCGAGCTGCGGTCGACGGCAACATGAGTCAGAGCATGAAGTTGTACCGCGTCACGCTCAATATCGGGAGGTCTCTGAGGCCAGATACGCAGGAGGTCGAGGGCACGAACTCGCTCATAGCAATTGAGTCCGCTATCGCCCCGACAATATCTTTACCATTGCCCAGCAGTAGGGTCAACAACTCGAAAAGATGCGGGCTCGGCTCACGGAGTGCTAAGATGAGATTGAACTGGAGCGACGTGCGAGGATCCATCGAGAATCTCCGAGACGAGGCAGTGGAACATTTCGAGTCAATCGAAGCAATCTTGGGTCAGAAAGGCCGCTTCGCGACGCCTCCGCCAATTGACGCTGCGTCCGCCCCAGAACCTGAGAGGGCGCCAGCCGATGGAGACAAGCAGCTAAGGGACAGGGCGTGTAGGGCATGGGCCTCCAATGTGCACGGACGGCGCAACTCCCCAGAGAGGTTCGTCATCGGCGTCGCTGTGGGCGATATTGTGTACGCGCCAATCATTTCGCCCTACAACGTGCAGATGTTCGCCACTGCGACTGACGAGGGCGATGGGCGACCGCTTGAGCTCCATAGTCCGATCAACGCAGTCAGCGGGTGGGATATGTTTACTTCGTTACTTGGTGCAGAAAGGTCGCATTGGGAAGTCAACTTGAAGACGATTGCCTGGTCAGGGGTGGGGTCTTTCGATGTTGTTTCGGAGGAGGTCGCGGCGTGGCCACTACCAGAACCCAGCAAACGCAAATGCGTCGCAGCCGCTCCAGGCCGACCCCCTTCATTGGAAGACGAGGGCGGTGACGCCGACAGCGACGACGACCATGGCGACCAACCAGTCCTGGATGGGATCGCAGTCGACATAGCGCCCGAGCCTGACACGAAATCCGACGACGGCGGCGACGGCCCATGCGACGAGCAAGGCGTGCCGACGCCTGAGCCATTGTCAGAGGCGCGGTTGTTGGAGTTGCGTAGGCTTTGGAAAGATCAGTTCCTCTTGTCTCAGCAGTGCATCGAGCGCTGCAGGGACGAATATCAGGTCAGACCCCTTACGAAACAAGTATCGTTGGTAGCAACAGTCGGCGAGGACGGAAATATGACAGTTACCTTCATGCAGTTCAAGGGCGCTGGCGACATGTGCGGCCAAATTGTGAACTCGGACGAGAAAGGGAGATGCAAATTTTCACCTGTTGGGTACTTTCGTTTTCAGTGCTACACGGACGACACGTGCAAAGTCATTTTGGCTAGCACTGGAACCACCATGGTCAAATGCAGAGGCGCATATCGGCCTTACTTTGACCCGTGCGTCCTCCGTCTGAAACAGATGTGCAGTGTTCTAGCTTGCAACGGTTGGAGTGCAGATCCGCCGCACATGCTTGTGGAGACATGCGCAGCTTGCGGTGGGAGAGATGGCGTTGTCGTCCAATGCCCGCTGTGCTTGTTACACGGGCATATCGCGTGCTTCAAAGCGTCTAAGAGGCGCGCGTCTGTGAGTGCTGCAACGTGTGCTGGCGCCGTTTGCGCTTTCGACCGTCTCTTTGCAGCCTGGCACCTAGACGAGTCTCACATATGCAACCTTTGTCGCCCTTGAGAACTCGAGAGGGCGCGCTGAAAAAAATGTTAAGACTAGTGATGGTCGGGCAGCCGAGCAGAGGAGGGGATGAGGGGGAGGAGGAGGAAGGGCATCAGAGGAGGAGGAGGAGGAGGAGGAGGTGGAGGAGGAGGAGGACAGGAGGACAACTCCTCCTCCGCCGCCTCCTTCTTCTTCCTCCAGCGCCAGAGAACGATCACGCACTACCCCGGCATGCAACGTGAGCTGACATATTCTGAAATAATTAAGAAAAGGTCGCAAGAGCATCCTCCTCCTCATCCTGCTCCTCCTCTGGTTGCTTTCCTGCCCCTCCTCCTCCTCCTCCTGCTCCTCCTCCTATTCTGCTCCTCTCCTCCTCCTCTCCTGCCCCGTGCTCCTCTCCTGCTCATCTCCTGCTATCCCCTCGTTTTCGAACTGGTTCGTCTTAGAGTCAGCGAGTGGCTTCTCGAGGGCCCTTGGAGCAGCTCGGTGACCTCCTCGGCAGTGTCCACGTGGCACAGCTCGGTGGGCCGCGGCACAAGGGGCGCTGCAAATCATTTGAAACGGGGGCGGTAATGTTTCAAATATTTTGAAACAAGACAAGGGGTTGTGTCAAATATTTTGAAACGGGACCGCTGGATGTTTCAAAATATTTGAAACACAGATGGGCGTGTTTCAAATATTTTGAAACAAAGGAGTTGCTGTGGCAAATCTTTTGAAACAGTGCAGTGGGGTGTTTCAAAATATTTGAAACAGAGCTGGGGGTGTTACAAAGCAGGGCAGGTGGTGTGTCAAATAATTTGAAACGGGGCAGATGGCGTGTCAAATTATTTGAAACAGAGCTGGCGGGTCTTCCAAAGCAGGGCAGTGCGTGTGTCAAATAATTTGAAACGTGGCAGTGGTGTGTCAAACAATTTGAAGGAATCAGGGGGGTTGTTCAACATAGCTTGAAAAGAGATTCGGCTGCGTTGTGAATCGACTTGAACCAAAACACCCACCCCAAATCGCAACAGACAACAGCGTGCGACTCATCGCAGCCCGGTGCACCAGTAGCTGTTTTGGCTCAAACTTTGAGGGCAATCAATCTTCGCGATTGTTCAGGAATGACTTCTGCTGTGCATGCGGACCAGCTCTACCAGCCTTTACCGTCAATTGCGCAGAGGTTCCCGCAGCTCGACGGCAACCTTCTTCAGGCTTGCCACTCGAAAGAATGAGATGCGTGGTACTTCTTACACGCCGACAATCAGGCCCTTGATGGGGGCGGATATAGGGCCCAAGGGCCCAAGGAGCCCCCGAGGGAAGTCCAAGAGGCCCATGGAGGCCCAAAGGGAGGACCCAAGGCGCCTCGGAGATGAGACCCAAGGAGCCCCCAGAAGGACCCAAGGAGGAGCCCCCACGGGAAGTCCAAGAGGGCCCCAAGATGGGCCTCCAAGCGGGCCCAGGAGGGCCTCGAGGTGGCCAAGAGAGAGGGTCCCGATGGGGACCCAATAGGATCCCGCGGGACCCTCCCTCTTCCCCAACGGTGACCCCCAACTGTGACCCCCAACAATCCTTGCATCATCCATAGGCAGCTGTGTTCGAGGTGTACGCAATCCGCGAGGACGTGACACTGTCGTACTTCCGATCAGGCTCATCCTCCTCCTGGCCCTACTCCCCTTGTCACCTCCTCTCCCCCCATCCAGTCCCTCTCCTTGTCCTCCTGGTCCTACCCCCCTTGTCCCTTGTCACATCCACCTCCCCCCAGCAAGGCAGCAACACCGAGCCCCTGCTGAGCAGGCGCCCTGAGAACAATCGCCGACAGCGGCGGACGCGCGAAGCCTGCGCCCAAGACATGCTCACCAAGGGCATGTTCGTTGGCGTGCGCGGCGAGCCGTGGGCAGTGGAGTGTGAGCACGGCACCTACGCGCTCATGAGTGGCGCCACCATGGTGGAGGCCGTGCACGACGCCTTCAAGGCGCAACCTTCCAACAAGTACGTGCTGCGCACGCTGGCCAACGGCCTGAAGCATTGCACAGTCTTTCACAAGAGGACGCCTTCGGACGTCTTGAAGTACCTCAAGACTCTGCATAATGACATCCGCTCGGGCGCCTCAACGTCACACGTGGAAGTGTTGTCACAGCTGGGGGAGTACCTCGCCGAGTGGAGCAACCACTCGAGGAAGCAGCTAGGTGGATCTCGGGCATGCCCAACGAAAGGAGACGACACATACCGCAAGCAGAGGCTCACCTACATCAACAGCCTCTACCAGGACGGCCAACACAGATTCGAGAACCCCTACCAGCTCGGTCGGGTATCAAACTTGTACAACACGCTGCATCGGCTCAAGTTCTTCGAAGCCTACTCCGAGACCGCGGATGCCTTCACGAATTTCCTGCACCCGAAGTACTCCAAGAACGCGGTCTTGAACGTCTCGAGTGATATTCTGACAGTAGTGATGAAATTCCAGAGTTCCATGCGCCCTATTATGTTCAAGCACGTTATGATGCAGGCACTCTTGCTTGCGGTGCCGACTGATAACCAAGCTGCAACGCAGACTTTCGAGTTGTGTACATCGGAATCGATCCAGGGCTTCATGTTTCCAATGGAAGGCGCTGTGGTTCTCGAGGGCACGGCAGTGACGCCCGCCAAGCGGAGCAGGGCGGCAAAGACTACGGGGTCCACTGCCAACAAGCAGAAGAAGCCAAAGGCTAAGGCAGCGCAGATGCCGTCCGAGATTATCACCAGGGATGTGTGCTTGGAACACGACGTGTTGGAGCCCGATGCCGATGCTGACGGCGTCCCTGCCGAGGGGGAGGCGGCGGCAGATGCAGGTGGCCAGCGCACCCGGCCTAAAATGATGCTCGACTGCTTGGTCTCTGCAGTCGAGTCTGTCATCGGGGGCATCGCCGACGGCGATGTGCAATGGAGCGAAGTTGATACCGTGCTTCGGAGGGGCATGGAGTTCCCGCTCGTCGTCAAGAACGGTCGCGGCAACTCCAAGGGCGTCGATGCACTTCTGCCGCCGACCGACGGGGTCTCGAACTCGAAGAAGCCGCAGCGCTGGACCAAGTGGTCTCAGGTGCAGGCGGGCCTTCGCAACTACCTGTGGCACATGCACGCTGGCATTGAGGGCGCGCCCGTCGCCGAGCCCGAGGTCGTGGATTCGCAGCCCGCTGGAGGCTCAGAGAACGATCCGCAAGACCAGATCGTGCCGACGGACATCGAGAGGCCCGTGTGGGAGCACGACTTGAAGGTCTTCTTGAGCGGCACCTCGGTGGACGAGCTGAAGGCGGCCTTGGGCTCCATCGATTTCGCGTCGGCACATTGCTCGCGCGACCACTTCTCCAAGCTACTCCAGGGTGTCAGGTCTGACCCCGCCGTCATTCCAGGTAACGTCAGCATTTCAGTTGTCCTGTCATCGTTGCATTCGGCAAGGGCCAGCCTGTTGAAGATGGTGGAGGGCATTCGGGGCGCGATTGCAGTGCCGCTCATCCAGGGCTGCGACCGCCATGGTGAAGGCGAAGGCTTGAAGCCACAAGTGCCCATCGTGATGGTTGGCGTTTTCGACACGACCAAGCAATGCGAGGATTTCGCTTTCGACAGGGTGTTAGAGATCGTGCATGTCATCGGGAACACATCCACAGGCTTCTGCAAGGTCACTGGCGACGACTTCACGGCGGCGCTCCACAAACTCTCAACGGTCCCCGTGGGCCTCCTTGGTAGGGCAGATGTCTTGATGACTTCAAGCGAGATGTGTGTGGAGTTCTGGTCCACGCTGCTTGGCAGAGCTAGCAATGACGACATCCCCACAGTCCTCAACTTCATCAGCAAGCAGGTGGAGAAGCGCATGGCTGCGCTCAACGAGCGCGATGCGGCAATTGTGGAGAGAGCGAAGGTTGTATCTGATGACTCAGTCCACGACGTCTCGAAGCTCCGCGCCGTTGACACGTTCATGCATCTGATGTGCGGGTCGGGCGAAGACTCGGAGGGCAAGCTCGCGGAGCCGTCGTGCCAGGACGGGAATGCACACAGCTCGAATTCGCCCGTGCATCCAATGGTCATCAGGAGGTTCATGGCAAAGGTCGAGCTTTTCCTCTACGACGTGACGTCGCGCTCCAGCTCCGACAAGGGCACCCAGAACGTGTACATCGACTACTCTGGGAAACTGAAGGACACATGGCTCATCGCGAAGCCAGTCTGCAATGACATCGTCCTCAACCTCGTGGGTCACGTGTCCAACATCGCAACTCAGAACGCCGTCCCGATATGCGAGGCGTTCGGCATGAGGTTCTACGTCCAGGACCCTGTAATCAAGGTAATCAACGGCGAGGTGTTCAACCCAGGGTGGTTGGTGAGGGAGAGCGAGGGCGAGCCGACGATGGAGTTCAAGACGACAGTTCACGTGCTGAAGTTTGTATACAGCCAGGCCATGGCTGCGAGGGAGAAGAGCATCACTGTTGAGGTGGCACTTCCGCGGCTCCAGATTAGCGCTGCCTCGCTGGGGAAGCCAAGCGTGCTTCTCAGCAGGCCGCCGATCCCTGGGCAGGTGTCCACAAGCGTCGCCAAGAATCACGCTGCAAAGAGCACCCAACTTGTGATGGCCGCTGCTGGCGGCGCTGACGGCACCACGCCTCGCGCACCAGCAGGCAAGCAAACGGGCTTGTCGAAATTTTTGCTCCAGTGAGGAGCCGCGAGTGAGTTAGCACTAGCACTCTGCGAGGGATGAGTGTTGATGTTGATGTGCCGTGCGCGTTTGTTGCATCGACCTCCGATCCGATCGGTGGAATTCTTTAGACATCGGGCGCTGCCAACGCGTGCTGCGTGGTGGGGACACGTGCGCCTGGGCACAACAGTTTTCATGAATAGTTAACCAGCTCGCAGCAATGATATTGGGATGCAGGCAGAACTTGGGAGCCTTATCCACCTCCTCTTCCTCCTCCCTCCTCCTCCCTCCTCCCTCCTGTCCCTCCTGCTCCTGCTCCTGCTCCCTCTTCCCACTCCTGCTCCTCCTGCTGCTGCTCCTGCTCCCTCTTCTCCCTCCCGCTCCTCGCCCGCCCCTTGCCTTTCCTCCGCCTCCGCGCGGCGCCCAGGGAGGCCGAGTCGGGCCGACGACGGCAACGGCAACGAGGACGACGGCGAAGACAACGAGGAGGAGGAATACGAGGAGGAGGAGGAGGAGGAGGAGGAGGAGGAGGAGGAGGAGGCCAGTGGCCGATGCAGCTCACGCTGGAGGAAGAATAATAAGGAGGAGGAGGAGGAGGAGGAGGAGGAGGAGGAGGCGAGGAGGAGGAGGAATGCGAGGAGGTGGAGGCTCGAGGAGGAGGAGGAGGAGGAGGAGGAGGAGGAGGAAGGAGGATCGGAGGAGGGGAAGGGGGATAATGGATAATGGACAAAAAAGGGAGGGGGAGGAGGAGGATTTATGCGATGCTCGAGCGGTGTTTGGGAGTAATCGCGATAGAAGCCGCATCGCGATGTCGGAACTTACTGGGGGTTGCTGGAGGTCGGCTTGAGATACGCGCGTCCTCGACAGGCGTCGTGAGACAGGGGCCGTTTCAAATATTTGCCACGCGCGCGTGTTTCAAACGGGGGTTATAGGGGTCAGAAAATCAATATAAATCACGACCCCTAGACGACGACTTCGACGACGACGACATCGACTACGACGACGACGACGACGACGACGACGACGACGACGACGACGACGGCGGCACCGACGACGACGACGCCGACGCCGACGACGACGACGATGGCGATGCCGACGACGACGACGGCGACGACGACGCCGACGACGAGGACGAGGACGACGACGACGACGTCGACGTCGACGCCGACGACGACGACGCCGACGACGACGACGATGACGACGACGACGACGACGAAGACGACGACGACGACGACGAGGGAGGAGGGAGGACGACGACGGCGACAACGACGACAACGACGGGTGATGAGGGAGGACGGCGACGACGCGGACGACGAAGGAGGGAGGACGGCGACGCCAACGACGACAACGACGAGGGAGGAGGGGAGACGACGACAACGACGACGACGACGACGACGATGACGGCGACGACGGCGACGAATTAGGAGCGACGACGACGAGACGCCGACGACGGACGACGACGACGACGACGACGACGACGAGGGCGGAGGAAGGACGACCACGGCGACAACGACGACGGAAAAGACGACGACGCAAAAGAGGACGACGACGACGACGACGACGAGCAAAGACAGAGGACGACGACGGCGACGACGACGACGAGGGAGGAGAGAGGACGGCGACGACGACGACGACGAAGATGCAAGAGCGCGCGCGCGCACGCTTTTGTTGAAAATCCGTGTGGCGAAACCCTGTGTTTTTGTATATTTTTGGGGCGCTCGATTGAAAAAACCCATCCGGATCCGAATGTTTTTTTTTAATGATTCCGGCATGCGCGCGCAACGACGAGCGCGCGTGCACTTCGTTCATTTTTTTTTGCAGAAGATTCTCGCGACGGCACGCGCGCAAGGGCGACCGAACGATTTCGACACGCGCGCGCGAAGCCCGTTTGGTAGCATGTAATGTTGAAAACCATGGTGAAGATTTCGCAAGAGTGGCGCGTGCAAGCTTTCTTTTTTAACAAAAAATGTTTTTTATGCACAAAAACGTTGTGAAAACATATGGTGTTGTATGCTTGTTTGTGGAAGCTCGATTTTGGAAACCTTCCGAGCGCGACGACGCGCGCGTGTGCACTTCGCCCCATTTGTCGCAAGGGATTATGGAAAACTTACGTGTTGATAAACGAATGCGCGCGCATAGTACTGTTGCAAAGGGTGGCGGGGAGGGTCGATACCGGCTTGGCTGGGACAGTATGAGTTCACAAGTAGAATGGACGATGGGGCAGAATTATATGTAAATTGCAATACGAAAAAAGGGATCGATAATTACGGGGGGTGGATTCTATTATTATTTTAAGCACAACTATCCCACCCGCCCGCCCGCAAAATGGTTTGCAAAACCCATGCGGCGGCGATTGCGACGAGTGCCCAATGTTGGTTGGTGAATTTCTGCAGCCGCGCTAGCCCGCGCGTGCTCGCGCGCGCAGCGGCCAGCTGGTCTGCCGCGACCGACGCGGCCGAGGTGGCGCTGACCGCTGGGCACTTCCCAACGGGCAGTTCAGTGCGGGTCGGCGACTTGGGCAGGCGCGGTACCATGGCACCGTCAACAACAGCAGACACGATGATGATAATAGCGATGTTGGTGACAATGTGATGACGACAGCGACGACGGCGAGGCCAGTGACGGCGCAGATGCTGATCACGCCGACGACAATGACGGGGTCCTCTCGTCGGTGATGAAGGTAATGAAAAGAGTTCGACATGCGCGCGCGGCCCACGCGCGACTGGCCCACATGGTCCTATTTGACACGGACCGCCCCCCTCCCAGCACGCACACAGAGAAGTTCGAATGACTTCGACATGCGGAGCGAGAGGCCCGCTTGGCCGAATTGCATGGACACGTTGAAAACGAACGTTTTGAAAACGAACGTGTTCGGGACATCCGCTCTTAAAACCCTACGAAACTTCAGATATGTAAAGAGTTTGGCTTGCGCGCGCGACGACGCGCGCGTGCGCACTTCGCCCCGTCGTTTGCAAGGGATCATCGCGACAGCACGAGCGAAAACAGTGATTTGTGTTGTGCGAAGCGGATGGTTTTCTTGAGAGCCCGCAAGGGTGTTAGGGCAATTTTTTGTTTTGAAAACCAAATGTGTGAATTCATGTGCTTATATGTGGTCCCCACATGTTTCGTGGGGCTGTTTTTTCTCTGCCGCGTCGCACCCGCGTCTCCTCACCTCCCCTCCTCCCTCCTCCCCATCTCCACTTCCTTCCTCCCTTCACCGACGCGCAACAAATGCACGGCACGTACATGAGACATGCGTGAAACACGCCTGGCGCGTTCACTGCATCATGCACGAGGCACACGTCCCAATACCGCCGCACACGCATCATACACATACACAACACACGCCATATACAAGACGTGCGCGTAGGATTCGCAGTGCATGGCAGGAGGCCCTATGCGGGCCATGGCGCAGGGCACGGCAGGCGTGGCATTTTCTCGACACCAGAAGGGGATGCGCAGGGGGCGGTGTTTCTCACCGCGGTCCCTCCATGCGCCAATGTCGCATGGTTTAGCACGCGTGGCACTTGTCCGACACCAAAGGGGGTGCGCAAGGGGGTGGTCTCTCACAGCGGCCGCTACGCGCGCCTCTCGTCCAGGTGCAGCACGCGTGGCACTTTCTCGACACCAGAGGGGGTGCGCAGGGGGTGGTCTCTCACAGCGGCCGCTACGCGCACCTCTCGTCCAGGGCACCGCAGGCGTGGCACTTCCTCGACATCAGACGGGGCGCGCAGGAGAAGGTTTTTCACAGCGGCCGCTACGCGCGCCTCTCGCCCACGCGCAGCACGCGTGGCACTTTCTCGACACCAAACGGGGTGCGCAGGGGGTTGTCGCTGACCGCGACCGCTGCGCGCGCCTCTCGTCCAAGCACAGCAGGCGCGGCGCTTTCGGTGCGCAGGGGATGGTCTCTCCCCGCGGCCGCTACGCGCGCCTCTCGTCCAGGCACCGCGGGCGTTGCACTTCCTCGACAATAAAGGGTGCGCAGGGGGGGGTCTCTCACCGCGGCCGCTACGCGCGCCTGTCGCCCGCGCACAGCAGGCGCGGCATCTTCTCGACACCAAAGGGGGTGCGCAGGGGATGGTTTCTCACAGCGGCCGCTACGCGCGCCTCTCGTCCGGGGCACGGCAGGCGTGGCACTTTGTCGACACCAGTGAGGGTGCGCAGGGGGTGGTCTCTCACCGCGGCCGCTACGCGCGCCTCTCGTCCAGGCACCGCAAGCGTGGCATTTAGGGGGTGCGCAGGGGGTGGTCTCTCACTGCGGCCGCTACGCGCGCCTCTCGTCCAGGCACAGCAGGCGCGTCACTTTCTCGACACCAAACAGGGTGCGCAGGGGATGGTTTCTCACCGCGGCTGCTACGCGTGCCTCTCGTCCAGGCACCGCAGGCGCGGCACTTTCTCGACACCAGAGGGGTTGTGCAGGGGAAGGTTTTTCACCGCGGCCCCTATGCGCGCCTCTCGCCCAGGCACCGCAGGCGTGGCATTTCTTCGACACCAGAGGGCATGCGCAGGGGGTGGTTGCCGAGCGATGCCGCTGCGCGCGCCTCTCGTCCAGGGCACCGCAGGCGCTGCATGTTCTCGACATCAAAGGGGGGAAGGCGCGGCATCATCTCGACACTAGAGGGGGTGCGCAGGGGGTGGTCTTTCACCGCGGCCACTACGCGCGCATTTCGCCCAGGCACCGCAGGCGTGGCACTTTCTCGAAACCAGAGGGGGTGCTCGGGGGGTGTTTTTTTCACCGCGGCCGCTACGCGCGCCTCTCGCCCAGGCACAGCAGGCGCGTCACTTTCTCGACACCAGGGAAGATGCGCAGGGGGTGGTCTCTCATCGCGGCCGTTACGCGCGCCTCTCGTCCAGGCACAGCAGGCGCGGCACTTTCTCGACACCAGAGGGGGTGCGCAAGGGGTCTCTCACCGCGGCCGTTGCGCGCGCCTCCCGTCCAATGCTCGGCAGGCGTGGCACTTTCTCGACACCAGAGGGGGTGCGCAGGGGGTGGTCCCTGAGCTCGCCCGCTACGCGCGCCT